TCTGCGCGGTGTGCGTCACTCTGACCTCTGCGCGGTGTGCGTCACTCTGACCTCTGCGCGGTGTGCGTCACTCTGACCTCTGCGCGGTGTGCGTCACTCTGACCTCTGCGCGGTGTGCTTCACTCTGACCTCTGCGCGGTGTGCATCACTCTAACCTCTGCGCGGTGTGCGTCACTCTGACCTCTGCGCGGTGTGCGTCACTCTGACCTCTGCATTGTGCGTCACACTGACCTCTGCATTGTGCGTCACACTGACCCTGCACAGTGCGTCACACTGACCCTGCACAGTGCGTCACTCTGACCTCTGCGCTGTGCGTCACTCTGACCTCTGCGCTGTGCGTCACGCTGACCTCTGCGTTGTGCGTCACGCTGACATCTGCGCTGTGCGTCACGCTGACCTCTGCGCTGTGCGTCACGCTGACCTCTGCGCTGTGCGTTACATTACTGACCTGGCGGAGTTAAGTCCGGGGCAGGGTAGGGGTTAGGTGGGGCAACTGGTAGCGAGTAACTTTTAGGCCTGGCTAGTAGCTCAGGACTTGAAATTTTGAGCCCTGGCTACACTATCATGCAAATCTAGAAATGGATGTGCAGCAGAATCTAATACGCTCCAGAACACTGTCGCTATTCCAACATAGCATCTCAGTGCAGGAACGCCAAATTCATGATGGTGGTTCCATTTGTGTCTGCAATGTCTGTAAATCCATCAGCTAGGTAGCGGCAAACCGTGTTATTTAACTGATTTTTTTATGATTACTTTTTGTTAAACACAAGATTGCTAACTATGTAATGAGCAAGATGGTAGGCATCTAATAAGTGCAAATGCGTTGTTAGTAAGAAAACATGATGAACAGACCTAAATTTCACAGACTGCTCACTGAAAGAAAGATGGAGGGTTGGCCAAGCGCATCCATGTTAGCTGGGTGGCAGTCCGGCATTGGCGTTTTGCTCGCCCATGCCACATCACTTTGTTGTTGTGTTAAATGGATGTTTGCCGTCAATTTAAAATATCAATGATTTGGCACATGGACAATTACTTGAGTCGATGACTCGAGATGCATACAGCATACGTTTGCTAGACATGTCCTGAGCAATTAATAGAGGCCTCATTCACACCATCCTCAGTGCGTTCCTCCCGATTGTGGCCGGAACGCACTGGTTCACATTGTAGCCAGTTCAGTTTGTTGTGGGGCGGGAGGGGGCGTAGTGGTGCATTGAAGTGAATGGCAGCCACGCCTTCCGCCGCAATGCTATTGGCCGCACAGGAACGCAAGGAAAATCGGTCCGGTCAGATCAGAAAAATTAATCAGTTTGCTATGTGTTTCCCAAATCCCAGGTGGGACATGTGTGTATACTACTATCCACTACTGTTGGGTGTGTGAAATTCCCATTGATGGTGACACAGCAACAAATATCAATGCCTAAACAAGGTGACAATCAAAACTCAATTTAAAAAAGGGGAAGGGGAAGTGGGAAAATGTACCTGGTTTGAAGCCAAGATATATGAGAAATAGATGTGTGTGCTGTCCTCAGTTCGCAGCTCCGAATGGTGCGCTCCATTCGGAGCTGCGAATCACTGATGTTTGTACTCGCTCTCCTCTCTAACACGCTGTCACAGGAGGCTGAGCGAGCGATGCAGGGAGGAGAGCTCAGCCTCCTGTGACAGCGTGGCCTGTCTCCGCCCCCACACCACTCTGCCGGACTGTGATAGGCGGCTGAGCGGTGTGGGAGGAGAGACGGAGGCCGCTCATAGCGCTGTCCTCTCGCAGCGCTCGGTCGTCACTTTCTCTCCTCCCCGCTGGGACACAGAGCAGCGCCCAGCGGGGAGGAAAGAAATCACTGATGCGCTGATGTATCGGCAGGAAAATGGCACTTTCAGCATTTAGCCAAAAGTGCAATTTTTGGACAGCGCCCCCCCTCAGCTGTGCACCCGGGGCAAGGTGTTTCGCCACTGTGTACGTCCCGATGCACATGCATGCGCGCAATTGCCCATTTTCTCATGGTACGAACAAAGGGACAACACACATGCGCAGTAGACCTGAATACCTTACAGGAATCCACTTACCTAGTGGATTTGTCAGTTAATAACTTATTGGTGTTCGAGCTGTCACTGTCAGGCCTCACTCAGTGCCTTACAACATGCCATTAAGAGGATGGCCATGAAAGCATAAAACAAGTATAAAACAGACCTGATTAAACTGATCTCTGGTTTGATCCTAATAAATGTTGTTAACTTTGTTAGTAGCGGTTACGTTGGCTTTGAAGAACTTTTGAAGACTGTCTAGAAAACAAATAGGTTCAATCAGTAGGTCTAGAAGTGGAGAATTTCAACAAACTGAGGGGACAACAGGGTTTCCTGACTAGTTTTGGGTCGCCCTGACTTTTTCTTTCTTCTCTTTTTGGATATGGGAATGATCCATTTGAACTTTATGCGAGTCTTGTGAGGATAATAAACAGTGCTCTCAACTGACCTATTATATGGTTATCTAACTTTGAGAGGGCCTTGGAGAATACACCAAACATTTTGGAGAGATTACTTTGCTCATCTAGCCTGAAAATAAAAAGTAATCCAAACAGAACTTGGGTATAGCAAGAAAAGAAAGGAAATAAAAAAATGTCTGGTGTAGCCTGCTTCTGACACCTTGACCCCCAACTAGGTAACGTTTTTTGAAAATGAACATGGAAATCTTCTGAGCTACTAAAAATATCCTTTGTAGCTCTAACCTTACTCTGCTCTCATTCTTATTTATATATGTTTTCAACCATAGCCATCTAAAGAGCTTCTATAATTGTACTCACAGAAGGCTACAGATCGGCGAATCACCATTGTCTCTGCACGTACTGCTCAAGGCTGGACATCTAATGGACAAACTACTTTTTGGGAAAACCAATAAAGTAATCTGATTGCCTGCTTTAGCAAATCTACCAATTTGAGTATTAAGAGGGTGTTAGGATTTCTCCTAATGTTTAACCCTGCTATTATAACTCAGCAAAGGCCATGAATCTTGCTTGAGAGACATGAGGGGAATAACACAGAAGTAAATAAAAGTAACTCTGTTTTAAAACAGAAAATTCAGATACTTTGGCCAAACAGGTTCCACCGAGAGCAACCAACTCGGAAAGACACAAACTCCAGTGTTTTCCCAATAATCAGTTGTAACGTTTAGGATATTTAAGGATCCTTAGCCAGCCGTGTCAGCAAAGAAAGCTTTATTTTCTTCTAAACAGTACAACTTAAATTGCTTCTTTTCAGCAAATAAATATAAAGAGGATGTATCTTCCAGCAACATCCAAGATTTGGCTCAGCACTGGTAGCATGTCCTAACCTCAGGTTAGAGCCTCAGCCAGCTAATGACCAGACACCCCGCAGCTTCACACCTCCCTGTGTGATGATGGTCCTCCCTACCTTTCCAAACACACCTCATGTGCCACAGACCCTCTCAGCCTCGCCCACATAGCGCGTGTGCCACATGCCCTCTCGGTCTCTCCAGCCAGACTCCAGCTCAGAGTCTCGTGTGTCACATACACACAGTCTCCCACGCTCTGTATGTACTCCTGCACCATTGACTGCCTCTTCCTCTCTGTCCACTCTCTGGATAGGGCTGTTATCAGCCACCTGGACAGTCTGGCCTGGCAATTGGTGGCACCTGGCCCCAGGACTGGAGATTTCATCCCGCCCAAGACTCTTAGAAATCTCCAGGGACCCAGATCCCAGTTATACTCCAGAAAACCCGGAAAGAATTGGAAACCCAGCTTCTTCCGTGTAACACTATACGTTTTCTGGACCCTCTCAGCCCCTCTGGCCGAGAGCAATCACCATAGTAACACAGCACTGTCCTGACACACAGTATATTCACCTTCTCTATCTGGCAGACATGTGCTGATTGGATTATCTGCAGCTATTGAAAGTTATCATGATTGGTTATGATTTTCTTATAACACTATAGTAGGAACACCTACTTTGTTACAACCATAAGCCACCCAGCTCTGAAAATGTGCACCTACACAGCAGTGAGGCCATTATGGTGGCACTAGTTCTGGTTAGCCTGGGGCAGAGTCGCTTGTGTCTCTATGGTAGAAGTGGTCTTTTCTTCACTGTCCTTGCATTTTAGTGTAGTAGCAAACTAGACTCTAATGCATTTAAGTGCAGGGATGAGAAAAAGGCTGTGGCTGTCTATGGTGCCTGTGATGAAAATGTATATGAAAACAATGAGTAAAGAGTACAGCTCAGTGGTAATTGAAAATATCCACTTTCTTGTTTTAATTCTTTTTGGCAGTTGATAATTCTTCGATGATAAGAATGAGTATATCTGATGGTCAGCGTCCCAGTTTTGAATCCTTGGAGAATATTAGCTTTGTGAAGAATCTAGACAAGGCCATTGCATTTACAAAGAGCTGCTGGGATAGGGACAAGCAAAAAAGACCTTCCTTTGGTGGCAAGTAAAAATCCTTTTTATGCAAGAAAGCAGACAAGCTTAGTTAGAAGATGAGTAACAAAGTTATCTTCCTACAGAATGCTGTAAACAATGGGACATATTTAAATCTGCATACAGTGAGAAGGAGATTAAAGATGCAGTAAAAGATGTACAAAGCATGATGGTGAGTAACATGATGGTGGTTAATGAACATTCTAATTACTCCCCTACTTTTTGTTGGAGTGGAATGGATACCCCTATTGTTTTTAATTTACAGTACTACAGAAGATTTAACTTGTGAGTCAGGAACACACAGCATATCTGTAATAGGATTGAAGAATCAGATAATATGTGAGTTTCTGGGATACTCTAATTATCCCTGTTCTTATAGCTTGCAAACTAATGTTGTAGAAGTGTGCCTGCTCTTACCTTTCAGAAGTGATGCCGAAGCTAGCCGAAGGATCGGCCGAAGCTACGGCCAGATCCTTCGGCAGCTTTGTGAATAGACCCCTAAGTGACTTACAGAAATCCCTGTTCGATTCCTCTGTGCTTTCTCTACTTCAACGGTCAACCATATAGTTATTTTGGAGTACATGAGAAAAAGAACCCAACAAATTTCTTGCCATTTCTGATCCCTGTATCTTGCAGGGCTACAACTGTGTTTCTTACAAATGCTGTTTGTTTATATATTATACAGCATTAGGTATGCGTTGTTGTGCCTCATAAAACAACACAAACAGTTATTTAAAAAAGGTTAAATGTAATGGTAGTCCTACATGTTCCGTGCTCAATGCTTATGCTTTATCCAAAGACATGCTGATAGCTTAATTGACTAAAGTCTAAAATTGTTCTTTGAATGGGTGCATATGAGACAGGGACCCTAGATTGTAAGCTCCTTAAGATCAGGGACCAATGAGTAAATGAATAGTATGTAAAGTGATGCATAAATTACCAAAGCTATATCAATACTGTACATGTAACATATAAATGAATGTCTTAATTTGCCCATACACCATTAGAATTTAGTTCTAAAAAATTTGTCTTCAGAACGTTTGATGTTCTAATATTTAATGGAGTCAAATTTATGGTTGTTTGCTACCGTTGTGATGAAAACATTGAAGGAACAGGATGGAAAATGTTTCTCAAACACATGAAATTTGAACAGTGAATAAAACTCTCCATTCATTCCACAAATTAAATTTCGAACAACATTCTACAAGTCTCAGATGGGATTATCGAATGTTCTGAGGAGATTCCTTCAAAAGGTTTAGCAGTGTATGGGTAGCTTAAAGCTTAAGATATTGTACTATTTTTTTATGGTTGGAAAGGTTCAGAACAAAAAAAAATGATTTATCTTTGAAGTAGGCGTAAATGACACTCATAGGAGCATGCATTAATGAGAGTTTTCAATGTCTTGATATAAGGATTGTACAGATTCTCCTGCCTGTATACCAGATCTCCGACAAAGTGCAAGTGTACCAAAGACAGAAGATATGTCAGCCATGATTAGCAAAATGAAGACTATCCACATTGCAGAGCCTCCATGTACCAAGCAGGGTAAGAAAGGGATATGGGAAGCACATGTGTAAAAACGTATTTTTCAGATCTCTATTTTGTGCTGTCTGGTATGCTATGAAATGAGTTTACTCTTTGTTTCTTAACTGCAGATGACATTATATTTGACTCATAATGTATATACAAAAAGAGTATGATACAGTACTGTACATTACGTGTACAAATAATAGCAATATATGAAAATGATTTTCACTTGCAGAGGCTGTATGTTCAAATGACAGCAGTTATCTAAGAAATCCTGTGCAGCGTTTACCACCAGCAAACCAACCAAGGACAAACGTAAGTGAGCAATCACATCTCTGGTGTAATGTATGTCAGGTCATGAAAGGGCTTCTCTTCCCATAGCTGTTCACAGTAGCCACTCAAAAGTTAAACTACCTAATGCTTCTAATGTCACCAATAGTAAAATATCTGTGTTTGAGTTCTCAAGTCTGAACACTTGCTGAACCCTCTTAATTTCTATTTACAAATGTCCTTTGCAGAGCAATCAATTAATCGCAGAATCTTGTAGCATTTTGGATGCCCCAAGTGTGATTAAATTGTACAGTATTTCTAAGCAAAACATTTGTTGCTTTGATAGAGCAGGGAAGGGTTTAACCTTCAGTCGAGTGTTTATTAGTGTCTGTGTCTCCACTGGGGATATTCACCCCTAGGGTTATGTCCAAATACCTCACCGCACTCCTTACTGGATATCCCAGAGCAATGGGTGCTCGAAATGACTGCGGATGGTGCCACTTCCAGTGAAACTTGAACATAGATGTCACCAGCACACTACATCTATCAATAAAATGGATTCACATTGTCTTTAGACGACTACAAATCCCAGCAATACAAAATAACATGAATCTACATACTCTGTGTTGTTCTGGGGTGGCTCCCTGATGTCTCCAGGGTCTCAGGTGGCCTGTGCGGGCTCTCACCGGGGCTATGTGGGCTCTCAGGTGGACTCCGCTGGCTCTCAGGTGGACTCCTCTAGCTATCAGATGGGCTGTGCGGACTCTCAGGTGGCTTTGCGGACTGTCAGGTTGGCTATACAGGCTCTCAGGTGGCTGGGTGGGGTCTCAGGTATGCTATTTAGGCTCTCAGGTGGGCTATGTGGGCTCTCAGGTGGGCTATGTAGGCTTTAAAGTGGGCTATGAGGACCATTAGCCGAAGCTACGGCCAGATCCTTCGGCAGCTTCGTGAATAGACCCCTTAGTATCTTGTGTCTAGGTGTCAGCTGGCTGGTTACCCGGACACAAGACTCAAAAACCAGACTGCCCGGGTGAATCCCGGACAGGTAGCAACCCTATTCACCCCTCTATTTGTACATATGAACATTGTCACGAGAAAGAAATTGAGGGGGAATCCAAAAGCAAATCTAAGAATTTAGAGATGTACCCATAACAAGACGTAAGGAGAAAGCTTCCAATAGGGACACCTGTTTGGGGGTCAACTGTCTAAAAGGGGAATTCCCACTTATGTTATGTCTCTGGAACAGGAAGTGAAGGGAAGTAACAACAGTGGTACAAAGACCTGGCAGTGGTTTTAATCCTTCCCTAAAAAAAATGTTTTGGCCATACATATGTTTATCCCATAGAGAGCAATAGTTGATACAGTCTTATATTCACTGTATCTAAAACCTTTAAATTGCATTTTTATATACTGAACAAATATTACTTAGCTTGATTAACACTTTGTATTTCAAATCCAGGTCATTAACAATGGACCAGGTACTCCAAGGTGCAGGACAGGTAACCTTTCATATCATCTATATATACTATATATTGAAATGCACTGATTTATGCTGCACCTACAAATACCAATATACATAGAATTAGCAAATAATGCACAGAAATAAAAATACTGTACACATAATGTAGACTGAATGTTCTCCATCTGAACTGCAAAATTAACAGCTGCACCACAAACATATTGAAGGGAATTTATCAAAACTGGAACAGACAAAATCTGGAGAAGCTGTGCATGGCAACCAATCAGCTTCTCTCTTTCATCTTCAAATCTTAACTGAACAAACTGAATAGAGAAGCTGATTGGCTGCCATGGAAAACTGCTCCAGATTTGGTCTGCTCCAGTATTGATAAATTCCCCCATTGTACTTAATAATGACATTAAAACTCTAACATAGATCTTTGCAGGGCCAAATACCAGAATTCCAGATTTGACTGATTTTACAAATCTATTAAATGAAGCCTGTCATGTGAGAAATATGGGGACAACTACCCTGGACTTCTGCATTTCTTCTAAAATGCTAGTTGCCCAACTGCAGTTTGAAGGTCAGGGTGACAGCAATGCAACTAGCTTTTCATAAGATGTAACCAACAGCAGCCCTCTATTTTCTTCTCATGCCCACTTTGCATTCACTAAGTGTATGAGTTTAGTCATTGTTAATATTTGGGTTTATGAGCTTGCATTAGTTGTAAAATCATATCAAGGCATTTTAGGATAACTGCTGATGTATGCTGTGTGATTCTCAATAAACTTTCCAATACTTGGTATGCAGACCTTCTTTTCTTCATTGTAACTGTAAAATCGAACCCCCCAGCTGTAGCAGTATTTGCATGCATTTCGACTTATTTATAAAAACTGGAACAAAAAAGTATATATGATTGTCAGATCTTAGCCAGTTTTTTTCTGTAATGAGCAACATCCCACTTTCAATGCTTAGTGATCCTTGCAGAATGTATGCTGAATGCAAGCATCTTTGGGCTAGTTTCTATCTTTAAAAAATAATAAGGCAACCAATGAGGGACCATATTGTACATGCCAGGGGTAAAAAAATAGTTATTATCCTTCCGCCCCAAGATGTTCATGTAGAGGCATGTGCTCCCTTTGTTAGCTAGAGAGAAGTTATAATGAGCTGAATACAACGAGAAGAAAATCATCCTCTTTAACAAGGATTGTCCTGATATCCAATCAGGATAGAGTAGGTATGAAAACAAAAGTAGTTACCTGCTGCTTAAATGAACCTTAGTGTAATGTTTAATAACAATTTGGGAAAAAGATAAGAAAAATATTTTTACAAGATGCGTGTCTTTGAAAATACATAAAACTTTGAAAAGAGGCTTTATAAAATAAAGGCAGCACTAATGGCAATAGGTTTGTAAATATCAATAAGCCATTTCATTCAGTATTGTGGTAATATGGCCCCCAGTGGCCATCAACAAAGTAACTAGTAATAATGATGCTCTATTATGATCTGTTTGAGATTAGTCTTTCCAAATTTGAGTCCCACAATGCATTGTTCTTCCACAGGGGCTGAGCCTGTAAGAAACCCTATGGGCATAAAGGGCCAGCGTGGCAGACCACCTCAGCCCAGTCAAGGGCAAGTATACCAACCAGGGCAAGCAGTAAGAGGACAGTCACAGCTGCAATACAGAGTAAGTCTCATGAATAAGATTGAATTTCATGTAGAGATGTCTCTATATTCAGGAATATAAATGTGAGTTCAATC